TCACAGAGGCTGGGGCCACCAGGCTGGGCCAGCTGCATGCCCTCCCAGGGCTCCTGTAACAGAACTCGCTTTCTCCTCTTCCTAGGCTGTGTGGGACCTGACAACGTGCCCAGAGAGGTAGGCCCTCCCACTTGGTGCCATGGGGGGTTCCCCACAAGTCAGGAGTGCAGGGGCTGCAGTGGACGTAAGGCCTGGGAGACTCAAAGACTGAGGAACGAGTCACTTAAGACGGAGCTAGTAGACACACCTGCCTTCCTGCCTGTCCGCCTGTCTGTCCACCCGTTCATCTGTCCGTCCCCTCATCCATTCATCTTTCCTTCTCCATCTACAGCCCACCCCCCCCTCCAACCATCTGTCCATCCTCCCACTCGCCTGCCCACACACCTACCCACTCTCCCACTCGCCCGCCCACACACCTGCCCATCCTCCCACTCGCCTGCCCATACACCTACCCACCAGTCCTTCCACTCACTGGCTCACGGGTCACACACTGCTCTGTCTAGACCTGAGAGGTCCCATTGGCCACTTCAGTGCTGTGTCTCTTCCACGTAGTCACAGCCACAGTCACAGGGCTCTTCCTTACCCTGGTTCTGCACAACCGTATATAAGTATGTGTCTGCCGGTGCCCAGCCCGTGTTGGCAGCTGGCGAGCAGTTGTGGTATCAGGGACTGGGTGCCTGGAATGAGCAGCTGCTTCTGGCTCAGACCTGCTGGGTGCGCCGAGCTGGGGAGGGCTGTGGTTTTTCACGGGACCCCTCAGCAGGTTGCCCAGTGCAGCTGTCCCCTGCTGGCCACAGGTGCACCATGATGCAGTGGTGAGGCTGGGCTGGGCCTTGAACCTCCTCTTCTGTCTGCCCACCCTCTCCCTCCCTACAGTTTGGAGAGCACTTCGAGTTTGACTGTAAAGACTGTGTCTGCCTGGAGGGTGGAAGTGGCATCATCTGTCACCCCAAGAAGTGTAACCAGGTCCCCGTCCAGTGTGAGGAGGAAGGCACCTACCCTGTGGTAGAGGTCGACCCTGCCGACACCTGCTGCAACATCACCTCGTGCAGTGAGCCTCCCCCCAGGGCAGG